ACGGTTTCCTTCTTTTGATGCGACATAGGGCAGATCAGATGGAAAGCTTTTAAACTCAGTGAGCTGAACATGGATTAAATCAAAAAGTCATTTGGAGTTGAATAAAAGGTTATACTTCATGAATGAATTAATTACAATGTTGAAAATTACCTTTCAGTATATATCACTACATGATGATATCGTCATATAATTTTCTAACAATGTTGAAGAGGCAATAAAAAAAGTTTTGACATTCGTATCACAGCGCGGTCACATACATAGGTTGAACAGTATAGATTCAGCATGCTGTTAAATCATATATATTATTCATGATCTAAATCTAAATAACTGAATAGTATAAAATCGGATTATACAGTATATGGGCTCTAAAAAAAATCACTCTTTATTTTCATTGCATTTTCATTTTAGAAATAGTAAATATCTGGCACACAAATTATTTGAAACCAATATGTAGGTCAGCTGAATAATAAATAATTGTGCTGTCTGGCTTCTGTAATGAAATTTCACGATTAGAACCGAACATTAATTTAAAAGCAAATAAAACAAAATATATGACTGGGTCAAAACAAAGTCTTTTCAGGAATCTGTCCCTATCCATAACCACATTTATTATTATGATAACCACTATTATCAAAACTTAGCTGTTCATTATGCAAACTGCAAGAACATTTGGGTTAGTCTATCAATGGTTAGCAATGTTTATTCACATCTTAGGTATACTATAGTAATAATATTATAATATAGTCATATATTGTCAATGCTTATTAATATAATATAGTCATATATTGTCGATCCTTTAAATGACACTAAGGAAGAACAACCTTTTTAGTTGCTGCACGTTATTTATAGAAATTGATGCAATATATATTTTGTGTCATCAAATAAACAGGCTTGTTCTGGACTCCGATGTTTTTCTTTGTTGGGGTAGTATCTTAATCTTTACCCCATATATATATCTGGGAGTATAGCCAACTCCTTGGGTTTGCACCCCTCCCTGTCACAGGTGCCTCATGCCAGGGCCCTATTTAGCCTTGTACTGCAGGGAACTCCAGATGGATTTTTTCCCTAGGTAAGTAGCTCATGAAGCAGATATTAGGCTGCTAGAGTAGGACCTGTCAAGAATGGGGTACATTGCAATGTATGATCATATATGTAACAAAAACCCCATTATTTTTTGCCTAGATTAGGTGTTTTTAAAACGCTAACAAGATCTGTCAGCACCTAAGTTTCTGTTTAGTTGATAAGGGAGTGTGCTGAATATTCTTTTTTCTTCTTTTTTAATATATATATATGTATATATATATATATATATATATATATATATATATATATATATATATAAATATATATAAAACCAAGAAAGTTGTAGTGGGGAAAAAATTGTGATTGAAAACCCCAGTGGATAGTCAATACTTCCTGTGTTGAATACAGCAAACACAAAGGAATCCATGTTTAAAATGTTGTTGAACTAATTTGCATATGCCCACCCAGAATCCTTTGCAGTAGTAACATCGCTGCAAATTTGAGATTACTGGGGGAAAAGCAAGTCTTATGGTTTGAATGGTGTGCAGATCTGTGTTTAACAAGGTATTGACTATCCATTATATATATATATATATATATATATATATATATATACACACACACACACACCCTGTTCTAAATTATTATGCAAATTATATTTTTCTCATTTACCTAAATAATTGATGTAAATAACAGTCAGCATAATTCTCATGTTATCAACTATTAAGAGAACAATTCAAATTTTATTGAACAAACCTCCTAATGATAACAGTATTTTTTTTAAAACATAAAAACTTACAATGCACTGTTCCAAATTATTAAGCACAGTAAGTTTCAAAACACTTTATAGGTTGTAAATAACTGAAAATTGTCATTTTTTTGTGTTTGCAGCATATTTACTGAAATCAAAAGTTATTTCAATCAAACTTATAACAACATTTTAACTTTTTAAATATTTTAACAGGTCACGTTATATTTTAACATAGGACCCCTTATTTGATAGCAGCTTCACAAGTCTTGCATCCATTGAACTTGTGAGTTTTTGGATAGTTTCTGCTTGAATTTGTTTGCAAGATGTCAGAATAGCCTCACAGAGCTGCTGTTTGGATGTAAACTGCCTGCCACACTCATAGATTTTTTGCTTGAGGATGCTCCAAAGGTTCTCAATAGAATTGAGGTCAGGGGAGGATGGAGGCCACATCATGACTTTCTCTCCTTTTATCCCCATAGCAGCCATTGATGCAGAGATATTCTTTGCAGCATGAGATGGTGCATTGTCATGCATAAAGATTATTTTATTACGGAAAGCATAGTTCTTCCTTCTGTACAAGGGAAACTCCACATACTTTGCAGAGGTCATCTTTACACCTTCGGGGACCCTAAATTTGCCGACCAGCTCTCTTCCCATGATTCCGGCCCAAAACATGACTCCACCACCACCTTGCTGACGTCGCAGCCTTGTTGGAACAGGGTGGCCATCCACCAATCATCCATTACTCCATCCATTTGGACCATCTAGGGTTGCACGGCACTCATCAGTGAACAGGACTGTTTGAAAATTAGTCTTCATGTATTTTTCTGTCCAATGCAGCCGTTTCTGCTTGTGAGCATTGGTTAGTGGTGGCCGAATGGAAGGTTTATGCACAGTTGCAAGACTCTGGAGGACTCTACACCTTGATGTCCGTGGGACTCCAGAGGCACCAGCAGCTTCAAATATCTGTTTGCTGCTATGTAATGGTATTTTAGCAGCTGCTCTCTTGATCCGATGCATGGATCTGGCAGAAATCTTCCTCAATGTGCCTTTATCTGCATGAACCCGTCTGTGCTCTTAATCGGCCACTAATCTCTTAATAGTGCGATGATCACGCTTAAGTTTTCGTGAAATATCTATGTTTATGTTTTCATACCTCGTCCAAGGCATTGAACTATTTTACTCTTTTCGGCAGCAGAGAGATCCTTTTTCTTCCCCAAATGGTGCTCTGCTTAATAATGTGGAACAACCTCCTTTAGTAATTTTTCCTTAAATTTGGCTCACCTGGCAATCTAATTATCACAGGTGTCCGAGATTGTTTTCAGTGATCAAAAGAGCCCTGAGACACAATGCCATCCATGAGTTAAACTAAAAAAACTAAATATTTAATCTTTGTGACACTTAAATAGAATTTGCATAATAATTTGGAACAGGGTGTATATATATATATATATATATATATATAGTGGATAGTCAATACTTTGTTAATATAATATAATATAATATATATAATCTCTTCATGCAATACTTCATTTAACACCTCTATTTACATTAAGTGATGACTGGGAAAAGCAAGGGAGTATGTAAAGGAACACCCTTATAAAAATAAAAGAGAATTTAGTAATTATATGCCCCCCAAATAAAAAAAAAATATATTTTGCATGGTTTTTTTTTTGGCGTAGATTACTTTTCAGCTTAGCATAGCAACAGATGTAGAATCTGCAGCTACTGCAAAACGTTCCCAATCAGAGACTTCTAAATGAGCTCTATTACAGCTCATTCAGAAGTATTTGCAAGGCAGGTGCTCTGAGCTATTGCTGCCTTTTGAGTTTTGCTCTACAGAGCTAACCAAACTAGGAAGTAACAGGAGCAGCTGTCTGATTGACAGCCAGTAAGATGATCAATGTGTTTGGAGAGATTCTTTAAGCAAAAATAATGGGAATTTAGTTACATGATCATGCATTGCATGAGAATGCCACAACACTAATGTACCCAATTTTAGGCAGGTCCTATCGGTTTCACTAAATGGCAGTCTACATCACTAAAGGGCCACCATACATATACCAAAAGTAAAAGGGTATAAGTAATTTGTAATAGCTTTCTTTATTCCATAATTTTTTTATGTATCCACAGTCCTCAGGAAAGTCCGAATCATGGACTGAAATGTTAACTTTATGTTACGGAAAATTGTGGATACAAAAAAATGATGGAATAAAGTATGCTATTACAAAAGACTGCGAGTGCAAGTACCTTTTTACTTTTACTGAATATCTGAGATCAGTATCTAGCACCCAGCTAATTATTAGTGCTATGTAAAATGTAATTATTTCACACTATTAAAAAAATAGTGAGTGCTCTGCGGTGTACTACTATGTATATAAGGTGAAATACATCACTTGTAGCCAACGTTTCACCCCACCACTGGACTTTTTTTTTTTTTTAATTCTTTATTTTTGTAGTGCATATGGTTTTAACATACAAGCTTGCGGTACCCCAATGGCAGTCCGCTCGCTAGTTTCAACGACAATAGATACAGTGGGGGATGAATAAACAATGCACATTTTTGAATAAGGTCTAGATTGACATAGTTAATTCAATAGGTTTAAGTAGTACGAGTCTTGGCTGGTAATGTCACAGATAATGCAGCAATTTAACGTTAATGAACAGGCTAAGTAGGCATGTTTAACTGGTGGGCACTCTGAATATGAGACACTAGCTGGCTATGCTTAGTATGTATCCCAAGCGAGGAAACCGTCCACAAGAGTGGCAGAAAACGTTGCTTAATGAGATGTATATTTAAATATTGTGTGTTATATGACAATATTGGCCTTTCTGCTCATTTTTATAACATGTTGGACATATCAGGCTAGGTACACCTCCCAAGTACGCATTAGCAGTAAATACATTAGGCTAGGGTTGCTGGTTATTCTGGCATACCTCGCTATAAGACACAGAGCAAGCCTGTCCTATCGGTCTCAGGTACATTAGTTAAGTGTGTACTAGAACTGCAGTTAGGTTTAAATATTAAGGCTTGTAGGCACAGGGCTAGATAAACTAAGGTCTGTAGTAGACCTTGCTATTCAGAAGTAAGTGTAAGCATCAAAACCAAACACAGTAAGAAACAAATGCTACATGTCATCTGGCATTCATGAGAGTTCCAGTGGGGCAAAGGGAGTTATGTGCCTGTCGATACCATGCCTGGGTTAGAGTCCTAGTCCTTTTGGGGTCAGCCGATGCCTTGACGGGCCTTGGTGAGTATCCCCTGCGGTAGGTGGTGCCGCTGGTGCGATCCCCTCGGTGTGTGGATGCTGGTATCCCTTGGGCTATTCTGAGTTGCTGTGGGTGCTGGGTGTAGCTCCATCCAAGCTGTGTGTCGGATAAGGATCGCCTGTCTGGGGCCGAGGCAGCTCCGTATGCATCTTCCTAGCGCGGTCGCCGCGCCCCTCCGCTGCACTTGCCTTGTTTGGGGTGGTCTTGTGCGTGGCTTCGGTGGTTCCCTCTGCTTCCCCACCTTGCTTGGGTATTTGAACCCCTGTCGCCTTCTAACATCCGCTTTTTTGGGCTGTGCATCCTGCCTCTGCCCCTGCCGGTTCGGGTTAGTGTCACCCTTTTGCTGCATCTGCCGTTGGGGTTGCGCTGCTGTTTTTCCCCGTCTAGCATCCCGTGGGGTACCCTGTGGCAAAGTCTGGAAGGTCTCTTCAGGCTCTGAGACCCTCATGTGGGCTTCCAGGGACTCCCAGAAAGCAGCAAAGATACTGTTTAGCCGCATCTCAGTTTCCCGCCATGCGTTAGACGTGTCGGCGGTGTGGGAGGCTTCCGCCATCTTGGAGGTCGCAGGGATGGTAGCCTTTCGGTTCCACGGAGCTGGTACTAGCCCATTGCTTCGCCAGGGAGTCAGTTGGGGGTAGACCGGGATAACCCCCACCGGTCCAGAGGGGGTGGAACGAGGGCTCGCAGTCAGCTTTCCGGCGTGGCCTCGCTGCTGGGGAGCGGCCGTCTCCCCTGCGCCTGCCCCGCTTGTAGGCCTCATTGTGTGCTGTGCTCGGTTCGTCGCTTGAGAGGTACCGATCTCTGCACCTCGGTGTCCACTCTCGAGTGGTAGCTTTGGATTCACGGTTAAGTGCCTGTGTGGCGGTTAATTGTAGCGTTAAGTGCCAGGTTTAGCAGGAGCTGCTGAGATGAGTGTCTACACAGCTCTGCGGTCAGGCCCCGCCCCCCCCACCACTGGACTTTTATCAAAGAAATGCTATGAACATAAACAATATACAAAATAGCTCTGTGTGTGCATGCGCATTAAAATAACTCTCTTTTTTCTACAACACTTTTAATGGTATTATATAAATCAGTCTGACAGAAATAGATTAAAATGATTCATTTTGATTGTGTTTCTATTTTGACTCTTAATATTCTAATTAATTTTCATATCTCCATGGCTACTACTTGCTGCTGCAAACTATTCTATTTGATAATTAATAAGAATGTCTCTTATACGGTGATTACAACTATCAATAGACAGTCAACCACTGTTGCCATGACTATGCAAAAAAAAAAAGACCCAGGAACAACACTGACCTGTAATTCGTTACCACTGATTTTGCTGTAGGCAAAAGATAAACATCAAAGTCTCCATTTTTAAAAGGATTCTACAGCTGTTACCAGCTTCAAGCCTAACTATTTTCACAATAAAGCCATAATTAACTTTTATACCTTTTGTCTTCATGTAATCACTTCAGCGTGTGCATCCATGTGTACTGAAGATTAGCATTGCGTCTTAATATAGCTTGTAAAATTAGACACTTAAGTTTCTGTATTTAATAGCAATCTCTTTTCTTTATGAAGTTTTAACACATGGACATAGACTTGAAATATATGATATCTCCTCTTCTCTCCCACTACAGATGGCAGTGTGGGGGTTAATAGTATAGCAGGTACCCAGCCACAAAGCCCGCTGCTCAAATATTCTACCCCTCATCCAAACATGGAGAAAAAATGTTATGGCAGCTGAACAGACCCAATATCCACAGAGTGATACTCACGCTCCCTCCAACCTGAATTTGATGGACACATGTCTCTTTTCAGGCTGAACATGATGGACACATTTCTCTTTTCAGGTTGAACTTGATGGACACATGTCTCTTTTCAGCCTATGTAACTATATTACCTATATCAGGGAGTGCCCCAGATTATCAGCATTACATGAGTTAATCCATTTTATGCCACAAGTTGCAGTTAGCAGTTACATGAGCCAATGCCCCTGATATTCTCACATTACGCCATTTTAGTTGAGCACCCTAAAAACCCTTAAAAACACAATCTAAAAATAAAACAGATCCTGTCAGCCCAATGTTTTAACCCTTGTTAATAAACATATATATATACACACACACACATCCCTGTGTTATTCCAGGGACCTATTTAACTTTGCACTGCAGAGAGTCCCAGGAGGAAGGATTTTCCAAGTAAGTGTATTATTTTCATTAAAGCAGGCATCTGGTTGCTAGGGTAGGGCTTGGCAAGAATGGGTTACATTGGTGTTGTGGCAGGTTTATGCAATGTATGATCATCTACCGTAACTAAGCCCCCATTATATTTGCTTAGGTGAAAAAAAAAACATATCTAAATAAAATAGAAAGGGGATGGACATGTCATTGACCACCTTACAGGTGGTGAGGGCAGGAGAGTGGACACAGTATGGCCTAGACGTGTGAATGAGATATATAAATTGGCAGCTTTTTGCTACAGCACTATAACGTCCATAAGAAGGTATTGGGGTATAAGGGGACCAATTCCATATCCCCTGTTGTTTTAAAGGGCGTATACCTATGTGATTGGACTTTTCTAGTGACTGGCAAGTAATGGCTGCCTAGTCACTAGTTCATAGTTACAATGAGTGGTTGCTGGCTGATAACTGTTTAGTATACATGAATATGTCACCCTCATAGCATGGCAGGTGGGGGCATAAGGGAATTTTAACCCCTTAAGGACTGGACTGTTTTTACGATGTTGTACATTTGCGACCAGGCATATTTTTACACTTTTGTGGTGTTTGTGTTTAGCTGTAATTTTCCGCTCTCTCATTTACTGTTAACATACAAATTATATATTGTTTTTTTCAGGACAAAAGGGGCTTTCTATACATACCATTATTTATATAATCTCATGTAATTTAATTTAAAAAAAATAAAAAAATATGATGAAAAATTTAAAAAATACATGTTTTTGAATTTTACTTGACAAATCTTTTACTCATCTACAAAAGCGAATGAAAAAAAACTGCTAAATAGATTCAAAATGTTGTCCTTAGTTTAAAAATACCCAGTGTATACGTGCTTTTTTTTGCATGTGATAGGGCTATAGGTACAAGTAGGATATTGGGGTTTCAAAACATACATTTTTAAAATTTATCAATAGTGACATTGTAACACTATTATCTGTCATAAATCTCTAAATAACACTCCATATGTACATATTTCTTTTAAAGTAGACAACCCAGGGTATTCAATATGGGGTATGTCCAGTCTTTTTTAGTAGCCACTTAGTCGAAAACACTCGCCAAAGTAAGCATTCATATTTGTTTGTGTGTGAAAAAAGTAAAAAAAATAAATTGAACGCTAATTTTGGCCAGTGTTTGTGACTAAGTGGTTACTAAAAAAGACTGGACATACCCCATTTGCAATACCTTGGGTTGTCTTCTTTTGCAAATGGTATGCCATCATCGAGGTAATTCTCATTCCTGGGCTACCATATGCTCTCAAAGGCAACGTAACCAACCTGGCCATTTTCAATGTAAAAATATTTGACCCATATATTTGACCCTGTAACTTTCAAAAATGCTATAAAACCTGTACATGGGGGGTACGGTTTTACTCTGGAGACATCACTGAACACAAATATTAGTGTTTAAAAACTGGAAAACCTATCACAACAATTATATCATCAGTAAAAGTGCTGTTTGTGTGTGAAAAATGCAAAAAAAGTCATTTTCACTGACAATATCATCGTTGTTATATGTTTTACTGTTTTGAATCACTAATATTTGTGTTCAGCGAAGTCTCCTGAGTAAAACAGTACCCCTCATGTACAGGTTTTAGGGTGTCGTAGAACGTTACAGGGTAAAATACAGTGCTAGCAAATTAAATTCTCTGGACTTTCGGCCTGGTTTGGCAGGCAGGTCCCTCAAATTGCAATCAATAAAATTACTTAATTATGTAAAAGTATTACATAAATACGCAAGTAGAATTTAAATATATATGCATATTTATATATTTGAAGTCTATGTGTATAGTTATATAATTATTTATGTAATTTTGTATATGGACATATGTATATTTAATATTATTTTTATTTATTTATATATACATAGATATATATATACAAATTCATTCTAAGTGTATTTCTATATAAATATATATATATTAATTTTAAAATGCAGTTAGAATAAAATTTCAAATATCATATATATATACACATATATAATTTTTTTAAATTTTTTATTAACATTAACTTTATTTAATTTTTTTTGGATTTTACACTAGCAGGGAGACTGCCTATCAGTACAGACAGTCCCCCTGCAGGCAGACACATGGACACCTATTGTGACCATGTGATCGCTGTGTTCAGGCCCGGACTGGCCATCGGGCACACCGGGCAAATGCCCGGTGGGCCGCGGTGGCCGTGGGGCTGAGGCCGGCAGGGGAGGTCCCAGGATCTCCCCTGCCGGTATATGCAGGGTCGGCACTATCCGAGCGCCGGCCCTGCTGTCTTCCATGGAGGGCCGGTGGGGAAATCAAAGATCTCCCTCATGGCCCACATGCGCTCAAACGCGGCCGCCGGCGGGGAGAGAGGGAGGGAGACAGCCGCCAGGAGAGAGGACCCGACGGAGCTCTAACTTGCAGCTCTGCCGGGTTTCTCTCGCGAGATCCAGACCGTTGCTATGGCAACCGGCCGGGTCTCGCGAGAGTGAACTCTAGCCCCAAAGGGCTAGAGTCCACTTACCACGAGGACCACCATGGATGGCTGGGGGATATAATGTATTTATTATTATTTGTATTTATTATTTATTATTATGTATTTATTATGTATTTATTAATATTATTTATTATTATGTATTTATTATTATTATGTATGTATTATTATTATTTTTTAGTAAAACACCTACCTGCCTCCCCCAATACAAAATCCTTGCAAACACACACATCACCCTCACCCAGCACCCTAACACACACATACAGCACCCTAACACCAGCACCCTAACATTGACACAGCACCCTAACACACACACACAGCACCCTAACACCAGCACCCTAACATTGACACAGCACCCTAACACACACACACAGCACCCTAACACCAGCACCCTAACATTGACACAGCACCCTAATACACACACACAGCACCCTAACACCAGCACCCTAACATTGACACAGCACCCTAACACACACACAGCACCCTAACACCAGCACCATAACATTGACACAGCACCCTTACACACACACAGCACCCTAACACTCACACAGCACGCTAACATTAACACAGCACCCTAACACCAGCACCCTAACACCAGCACCCTAACACACACAGCACTCTACACACACAGCACCCTAACACACAGCACCCTAA